GGTTATGAGATGTGGTTATAACATAAGTGGGTAAAGGTTATAAAATATATGATTAGTGATTATTAGATATGTGATTTTGGTTATGAGCAGAGTGATGTGGTTATAAGTCAAAAGGTGTTTGGTTATGAGATATGTGATTAGTGGTTATGAAATATGTAATGTTGGTTATGATCAAAGTGGTGAGGTTATGAAATATGTGATTAATAGTTATGATATATGTGATGTTGGTTATGAGATATTTGATTAGTGATTATAAGATATGTGATTTTGGTTATAAGCAAAGTGGTGTCAATGGGTGTTTAGTTATACTATATGTGTTAGTGATTATGAGATATGAAATATTGGTTATGATCAAAGTGGTGTAGTTATGAACAAAAGGGTTGTTAGTTATGAGATATATGACTAGTAGTTATGAGATATGTGATGTTTATTATGACTCAAAGTGGTTGGTTATAAGATGTGGTTATGATTCATGTGGGCAATAGTTATGAGATATGTGATCAATGGTTTTGAAGTATGTGATATTGGTTATGAACAAAGTGGTGTAGTTATGAGCAAAATGATGTTAGTTATGAGATATGTGACTGGTGGTTATGAGATATATGATGTTAGTTATGAAAAAAAATGTGTTGGTTATGAGATGTGTGACTGGTGATTATAAGATATGTGATGTTGGGACTCCTGAACTCTTCTGATTTCTTTTACCCTTTTTTTGGTAACCGGTTACACCGATTGTCAATTCAAAATTAAATTATTAAAATAATTTAATTATGAGGTAGTTATGAGAGAATATGATATGTATGAATAACTAAATATAATTAAATTATGAGTTAATATGATATTGGTTATGATCCATATGATATTAATTATAATATAAAATAACATATCTCCATAACTGATGTATGGTACATCCAAATGTACCATACCACCACCACCCGAATATATATATATATATATATATATCTCAATTCCTTCATTGTTGGTTCCCGTTAAGAAGGCGGACTACACTTGATCCTCTTGACGCTTTTTTTTTGGAGAAAGAAATGAAAATCACTATTTTAAAGTGTCTCGAACCTGTGTTGGGCATGTTTTCTGGGATGGGAAAGGTTCAAAATGAAGTAGTCTCCTTGATTATTATTTTGTTTTCACTATATGTAAGTTTGGTATATGAAAAACTCAAAAAGAGCCAGTTTTAATGTTTTTATATCGTGTATTGGATTGCAGGCGTCCTCATCTCATTTCTACGAATTTTTACCAAAGTTGTCTATCCACAACATGCCTATGGCCTCAGAAACAGCGCAAATCTCTATTTCATTGTAAGCATTGTTATGTTGATCGTATGCATTGTTTTCTACAATGTTGTTGATAGACTACCGGTTATTAAGTACCATAAAAATCTGAAGATTCAAGCTGTAAATGAAGAGAAAGAAGAGAAAGGTGTCCTAACCGGGGCACTATGGAGGACAACTTTGTGGGACATTGTTGGTAGAGTCAAACGGTGTGGATTTGGGGTCTTCATTATCTAGGGCGTGACATTGGCTACATACCCTAGTTGTGTTACAGAAGATTTCCATTCCCGGGTACTAAAGGACTGGTATCCAATCCTCCCAATCACTGGCTACAACGTGTTTGATCTAGTTGGCAAGTCTCTACCCGTGCACTATCTCTTTGAGAATATGAAAGTTGCAGTTAGTGCATCTTTAGCAAGGAGGTTGTTTTTTCCTCTCTTCTTGGGTTGTTTGCACGGTCCTGAATTCCTTCGAGCAGAAATCCCTGTAACATTGCTGACTTGCCTTTTGGGCTTTTCGAATGGCTATTTGAGTAGTGTCTTAATGATTTTGGCTCCCAAAAATGTCCCGCTGCAGCATGTAGAGATTGCAGGGACTGTGATTGTTTTGTTCTTGTTCGTTGGCTTGGCAATTGGTTCGGTTGTGGCTTGGTTTTGGGATTTCATGGTTTGTCCAACATTTGTTCTCTTGATTTGGATTAACCTATTGATGTTTTTTTTTTGTAAATCTTGTGTTATTAAGTCTTTGTGATGCTGTAAAAACTTGATAAAAGAAAGTAGATTGAAAGCCATTATGTTGAAGATTGGATTTGGAGGCCTTGGTGATTGATTTAGGAGATGTGTGATTCAGAAGACTTTTCTGTGTTGGCAAGTGGTTAATTTTGGTAGAAATGAAGTTTTGGAGCCCCTTTTATGAAAGGAATTTTCAGGCCTCTTTTGTCTTATATGTAAGATTTGGTAGAATTTTTCCTTTGATTCACTTATTTGTAATAATAGGTCTTGCTGTATTTATTTCAATTATCAGGGAAGATTTGTGTGATTATGCTCAATGAGACAAAGGACAAATAGCGAACAATAAACTGAATTATTCATTTATGTTTTTTATGCATATTGTTTGGATCTTAGTATGAACCGATCAAACAAGAAATTTATATTCAGTCTGCATTAATTAATTATATGGTGCACACATCTATACCTAAGGACTTTATATTTATATATTCATAAACACACAATTCATAATAATTTTGAAACTTTGTTTCATTTTTTTTAAAGAATATCTGTATTGCTAGTTGTTCTAATAAAAAATAACTGCTAATAATTTTAAAATTTTAATCTTTTTTATTCATAATTGTCAAAAAAAAATATTAAAATAAAATGCATTTTTTGAACCTATCACTAATAGATATACATATATATTACATTATAATATGGTACAGAATGTATACGTAAATATTTATATTTAATTTTAACTTCATATGAATTTAAAAAAGAGAAAATTGATGATAAATTTAATTTAGAGGGTGTCTACGGCATTAGATCCAATGTATTTTTTTTTATTAGTAAAAAGTCCACCATTTGTGAAATAGTTTGGTGAAAGATTATTTTACTTGTTTTGAAGGTCATTTTGTTTTCAATTTTACTCCTTAATTTATCTGTTGACTTTTTTTGACTATCTGTTCAAATTATTTTCTATCTGTTTAAATTTTTCATCTATCTGTTCAAATTTGTTTGTCTATCTGTTCATTTTTATTTTTTTTTTTTTGTCTATCTATTCAAATTTTTCCCATATAAATTTTATTTGTCCAATTTTTTATATGTACAAATTTTCTATCTAAATTTGATATGTATAAATTTTTATATCTATATAATTTTTACCTATACAAGAACCAGTTGTGATATATATACATCTAATATGATATATATATATATACATATATATGAAGGATATTTTGGTCAATTTAGTTGAGTTTATCCTTTTGGCCAAACTAAAGAGTAATTCTATTTTCATATACTAAATCCTCTCAGGACACACACTTAATGAATTTTTTCAAAATCACATTTTTATCTTTTAATTAAATTATCATTTAGGACAAATCTTTATCTTTTTCTATTTTCCCAATACACATCCGAACATATAGGGTTTGGTTGTATATCAACCTTCAAACGGATCTAGAGTTTGCAAATGTTGGGTTCACGGCAATAAAAAGACTTCTAGAGGTTGGGATTGTGGCGGAAAAGGTAGTAAAGGTTAGGATTTTGAAGAAATAGTGGGTAGCAAGTGTATATTAGGGTGGTTTAGACTAAAGTGGGGATGAGCTAAGAGTAACGATGACAATGGAGGGTTAAGAGTGACAGTGGTGGCGGCAGTGGCAACGGCAACGACAACAATAATGATAACGATAGCGGCGACATTCCAAGTTTTTCGGAAGAAGAAGAATAAGTGGATAAAAAATAAATTAAGATTTAAAATATAAAAGATAAGGGCGTTATTGGAATGAAGAGATGTGTATTGAGAATATTTTTATTTTTAATTTGTGCTCTGAGAAAGTATTCATTAAATGTGTGCCTTAAGGGAATTTAGTGTGTAGAAACAGAATTACCCCAAACTAATTTTGCGCCTGAATCTCTTGCCTAACAAAATTACAAATTGAATTTATGAACAGAACCCTTTCAAAAACAAACACAGAAGTTAAAATATTTAAACTACAATAAGATAGGTGTTTGTAACCAAGGACTAGCTTTATGGGTTATTACTATATCTTCGAATTTAATAAATTTATATTTTTACTTAATAATTTTACACTACTTATGAATAATTATGTGGTAAATTACACTGATTACTTTGACAGAGTGACTCAACTATTAAGTATTGGCCTATCATTTAATAAGAAAATTTTTTTAAAAATCTTATCGTCAAAAGCTTAACATTTTCAAAAACCTAATAAAATAAAGTCTCAATTTTATATTAAGTCTATGGTCCCAAAAAGAATGAATGATCTATTTTTTAAAATATATTTGTTGTTCATTTTTAGAGATAAATACAATAAAATGAAAATGTTATGATTATCAAATTTACTTAATTTTTTTTTATGAATAATATATATAAAAAGTCTTAAAAAATAAACAACTCGTATCATTGAAACTGGATCGATGGTGGGCCCTACGAGTCCAGATAACGCCTCTCTCTAATAAAATATATATTTTAATATAAAAAATATATTAATTTTTTTTTCATTTATATAACTGACGAATTTCAAATAAAATTAAAATTAAAATTAAAATGTTATATGAAGTAATTTTAGAACATTTCCAAGTCCACTCTTTAAAAAAAAGCATTTTCAATTCTTCATTTATTAAATTTAAATTTAATGAAAAATTAATAAAAACAGTGCTTCAACTGTTTTATTAATTTGGTATCAAATGAAGAAAGCAATACTTTTTTTTGTCAAATAAAAAAACATTTATCGTTTCATCAAATTTATAAATGACTGTTGGACCCAATGTCCGTGTGGACATCCTTCTTGACAATCGATTTTGAAAAGAATTTAATAAAATTTTATTTTAGACAAACGATCGGCCAAATAACCGTCCGACCAACCGGCCAAATTTAATAAAAAGATTGAAATATATTGTATCAAGTCAAACTTTTATTCAAATTTAATAAAAAGATTGAAATATATTGTATCAAGTCAAACTTTTATTCAAATTTAATAAATTATCCAATGAACAATTGGAGTTGTTGTAGCTTTGAACCTAATCCTATTTTATTCCCTCCAAGAACAAATCGTACTTTAGTCCTCTGTTTCCACATGCCACTCCAAATCACCCGAATAACACAAACCCGCACATCGGAGTCCGATGATCAGACCCATCTCCGGCGATGATCCGCCGGAATCAGATACAGGTTTCACCGGCGACATAGCCAACAACAATTCAGATTCAGATTCAGATTCAGATTCATCGCCTCTGCTTAAAACCACCAACAAAATCCCCAAAGACACATTCAACATAGCCTACACAATCTACTTCATCCTCGGCTGCGCCTTCCTCCTCCCCTGGAACGCCTTCATCACCGCCGTCGACTACTTCTCCTACCTCTACCCGGCCGCCTCCGTCGACCGTGTCTTCGCCGTCGCCTACAAGCCCCTCGGCCTCTTCTCTCTCCTCTTCATCGTCGCCTATGCCCACAAACCCTATTCCTATATCCGAGTCAACGTAGGCCTCTCTCTCTACGTTTTCTCTCTCCTCCTCGTCCCTGTTATGGATGTGCTTTACATCAAGGGCCGCACCGGCCTCTATGATGGCTTCTATGTCACGGTGGCGGCGGTGGCGATTTCTGGTGTGGGAAGTGGGTTGGTTCAGGGTGGGATCGTTGGGGCCGCCGGAGAGTTGCCGGAGAGGTATATGCAAGCTGTTGTCGCCGGGACTGGAGCTTCAGGTACTGTTTCTGTTTTGACAAATGCTGATTGTTTTGGGTAATCTTTTCTATATATTGATTTCAGTGTTTTGGTATACAATTATATGTGAAATTTTCACGAATTATAGTGGTTCATGTTGGGCATTTCATGTACGGACTGAATTGTTTTGCTGTTGTAATTTTATATTTGCTTGCACTATCATAATTCATTCTCTGTAAATTAAGGTTTTTTGCTTTATACTGTTTCTTCATGAAGTTATCTAACTTGTGAGTATCATTATTCTTTTAAAGCATTGTTTTGTAAATTGGCCTTTTACTGTATTTAGGGATTTTTTTTTATTTTTTATTTTCCAATTTTATTTACTAATACCATGTTTAATTTGACAAAATAGAACAAAAAATCGCGTATATAATCGCATCTCCTATCCTACATATTAGAGCAGCTCCAATGGCTTGCCATTAGAGCTGCTATTGCCATAATTTGGCAGCTCCAGCACTCCAATGGCCATAATTTGGAGATGCTATATTGACACAAGCTTTGGCAGCTGCTATTTGTCCCAAATCATCAAGAAAGATCTCCTTCCTTTCCTCCCTCCTCCCAACAAAACATCCTTCCCTCCCGCCTGCCATTTTTGCAGAAAAAACATAGAAATTGGTGTTTTCAGACGACCGGCCGGACGTCCGAAAACAACAATTTCTGTGCCAAAATAGCAAAAATGGCAGCTGAACCACTGGAGCACCATTGCTATTTTTCATCCATTTTCTACTATTCATTGCCATAATTTGGCAATGGCGATGCTATTATAGCATTTGCCATTGGAGATGCTCTTACTAATCTTGAGACCTTAATCCCATAATATTACTAATCCCAAACAATATCAAAAAATCTACTCCCCTATCAAAAAGTTGGCTTAAAAGTTGTTGCCAAACTAGGCTACTTTTGTTTGATCCCCCTTTACCTGGTTCACTATTGTGTCTTGTTTTAGCAGGGGAAAAAAAGAGCCCAATTCCTTCATTGTAGGTTCACATTAAAACAGCCTATGTGGATTAGGTGATTTGGTGAGAAATGATAAGATTGTGTTTGGTTTATAAATTAGATGAGAAATGCATGTTATACCAAAACGAACTGTAAGAAGGTGGACTTACACCTGATCCTCGTTAACTTTTTTTGGCGTAAATAAATGAAAGTTACTTATTTTTAAGTGTCTCGGATCTGTGTTCAGACATGGACATATTTTCTGGGTTGAGAAAGGTTCAGCATGCTAATGTTCACTAGTCGTAGTGTCCTGCATTATTATTTTGTTTTCTATATGCAAGTTTTGTGCATGAAAATTGCAGTAGAAGCAGTTTAAATCATTTATTTTATACCATGGACTGCAGGTGTTCTCATCTCATTTCTACGAATTTTTACCAAAGCTGTATATCCTCAAGATGCCCATGGCCTCAGAAACAGCGCAAATCTCTATTTCATTTTAAGCATTGTTGTGATGATCGTATGTATTGTTTTCTACAACGTTGTTGATAGACTACCGTTTATTAAGTACCATAAATATCTGAAGATTCAAGCTGTAAATGAAGAAAAAGAAGAGAAAGGTGTCCTAACGGTGGTGCTCTGGAGGTCGGCTTTGTGGGACATTGTTGGTAGAGTCAAATGGTGTGGATTTGGGGTCTTCATCATCTACGCCGTGACATTGGCTATATACCCTGGTTGTGTTACAGAAGATTTCCATTCCCGGGTACTAAAGGACTGGTATCCAATCCTCCTCATCACTTGCTACAACGTGTTTGATCTAGTTGGCAAGTCTCTACCTGCGCTCTGTCTCCTTGAGAATGTGAAAGTTACACTCGGTGCATCTTTAGCAAGGTGGTTGTTTTTCCCTCTGTTCTTGGGTTGTTTGCACGGTCCTGAATTCTTCCAAACAGAGATCCCAGTAACGTTGTTGACTTGCCTTTTGGGCCTTACGAATGGTTATTTCATCAGTGTCTTAATGATTTTGGCTCCCAAAAATGTCCCACTGCAACATGCAGAGATTGCAGGGAACATGATGGTTTTGCTCTTGTTCTTTGGCTTGGCAACTGGTTCGGTTGTGGCTTGGTTTTGGGACATATGACTCTTTAGTGTTTTCATGGTTTGTGCAGCATTTGTTCTCTGGATTTGGATTGACCAACTGTTGGTTTTTTTTTAAAAAGAAAAAATTTGTAAATCTTCTGTTAACAAGTCTTTATGAAGTTGTAAAAACTTGAAAAAAATTGAAGATTGGATTTGAAGGCCTTGGTGTCTTACATTCTGTTTGGATGGAGGGGTTTGGGGAGAGAAGAAAAGAAATAGTAAGAATTGGAAACCCTTTACTTATTTGGATGGTTAAGTAAGATGAGAAATGATGAGAGAGGGTGAGAAATAAACTCTTATTAAACCTGTGTTTTGTTTCTCACCAAAAATAGTGAGATTTAGTGAGAAAAGAATTGGGTTTAATGAAATTTGTTTAAAACACTAAAATCATCCTTATGGAAAACATAATTTATTAATATGTAAAGTTATTTTGATAAAATGAAATAAAATATTTTCTTTTACTTTCTCTATCCAAACAAGATAGGTAAGACACTAATATTTTTTCTCTTTTATTCATCCAAATATAATGGTGAGAAACATGATCATTTCTTTTCTTTTCTTACCCAGGTAAGAAACCACAACCATTTCTTTTCTCACCTCTCCTCACTATCCAAACAAAGTGTTAGGGGCTGTGTGATTCAGAAGACATTTTGTGTATTGGCAAAGTGGTTGATTTGGAAGAAATGAAATTTTGGAGCCCCTTTTATGAAAGGAATTTTGAGCCCTTTTTGCCTTATTTGTAAGATTTCGTAGAATTTTTCTTTGATTCACCCATACAGGTTCATGTCTCTTATATTTGTTATTCATAATTGACAAATTTTCAAGTTCTACTACATGAGCATATATTTGTGTTCTTTATGAATAATTTTGTGTTGGAGATTGTTCGGTTTAATTTTTGAAATTTGATTCGTCTTTAACGAATTTTTTTTTCATATTTTAATTAATTTTTTTCTTTATTTTTTAACTGCCCTAATCTAAATAAATTTAGAAAGTACAATATTTATGAATATATAAATATATATATATATATATAATAAGTTTACTCAAAAAAAATGTGCTAATTTTTTGCAGTGATATTTTTAGATTTTTCAAGAATATTTTACTTCAAAACAAACTATTTCATCATTTTCAAAAAAAAAAAAAACATTCCATACCTATTATTAATTCAATTACACAATGTTTTTTTTAAGTTTATATTTCTCAAAATTGCCGCAGAATATTAATTAATAGATATGTTAGGTTTTATTCTTGGCAATCCCGTTTGACAAAATTCATTTGTGTTGTAAATTTATTCGCATTTTTATTTCAGTGAGGATATGAGTTGTTAGATGCGAATCCAACCCAAATTGTGTCTTGCAGAGAAGTTTGTGATGTTAATACTTTCAAGATTGCCACTTCGCTGATTATGACAGGGGTCAACTCGTGGGGGTCTAGGGGGCAGCGCCCCTTGGCGGGTCTAGGGCAGCGCCACGGCGAGGTCGAGGAGCAGCGCCCCCGAAGCAAAATGCAAAAATGCATTCCAAGTTGCCTGTCCGCTCGAGCGGAGAATGCTGGGTTTCAGAAGTTTATTCACCTGCAAAAATACTGGATGTTGTTTTTTCCCGCTCGAGCGAAACTTTCCGCGCTCGAGTGTAGGTCAGCTCGAGCGGAGATCGCGGGATAGGTTTCTATAAATTCGTGTTTCAGTCCGAATCTAGGATAACTTCTCCAGATCTTCTTCTTGGGTTCTAGGGTTTATATCTGGAGATATTTTGCTAGTTTTCTTTGATGTTTTGATTGTGTATTCAACTCATGGTTTAAAGAGTATACATCAAAGGATTATTTATTTGTTGTACACAAAAGAGAGAGCTGTTCTTCAGTGGATTCTGAAGAATTCGAGTCTAAAGCTTTGGTGGATTCCGGAGTGGCTCATCGTCAAGACAATTCCGAGGTGAAGACGGGGTTGGAAGAGGCACATAGAGGTTGGTTCAATTCGAGCGTGGATTCGCTAGATAATTAAGAGTATACATGCGTAATTCATTTATATCTTCTTAGTGGATTGTTTTGTGGCTGTTGTCTGTGATTTTTTATCACAATTGGAGGTACCCAATTGTGATTTTTTCACGTAAAATTGTTTTTTCGATTTGTCTTGATTGCTTGATTGGAATTGTTATATACTGCTTAAAATTGATACATAATCACAAATCAACATGTAGGAGATTTCTAAATTTTTTCAAGGTATAATAAAGTACACATACATTGGATTTGTTTGGACAGGGGTTTGCTTTTTATTTTTTGGCTATTTTAATTTGGGGATAAAAAGTTTTGTTTGGAATGAATTTTTTAACTTTTGTGAAAAAAAATAATAATAATTATGATTTGAATATGATATTTTATCTTATTAACTTTTAACTCATTTTATCTTTTTATAATTATTTTAACCCTCACCCTGTTATGCCAAACAAGTGCATAGTGTTCTAAGTATATATAGCACTCATTTGGGAGGTTGGTTGAAATCAAGATCCCCTTCTTGCATTTCCTACTTGCAGGACTTTTAGGCCTAATTTTGATAATTCAAGTTGTTCATATTTTAAGATTTGTTCAGTATATCATACCTGTAAAAAATCAAGTTGATCGGATATCAGAAAGCATGTGTTCAAAAAACTGTTTATTAAATTCTTTAAAAAAATATTTTTTAGTTCGAGTTTTCCGAACCCATGCTTTCTGATATCCGATCAACTTGACTTTTTACATGTACGATATACTGAACAAATCTTAAAATATGAACGGTTCGAATTATCAAAATTGGGCCTAAAAGTGAGGCCAATAGCCCTGCAAGTAGGAAATGCAATGAGGGGATCCTGATTCAGTTGGGTTGGGGTGAGTTAGAACTAAAATAGTCACAAAAAAGACCAAATATATTTTTTACTTAAATAAGACAAAATAGCACATCCAAACTATAATTATTTTATTTTTTCCCACAAAAGTCAAAAAAACCAAAAAATCCATCTCAAATGAGATTTTTTAATCACAGACTAAAAAAATTAAAAAGTCAAAAAATCAATCAAAATCCCAAACAAACCCTATATATCAAAATCAAGAAAATTCAAATGTTGCGTGCACCTTAAAGCATAGCAGTTACTGTTGTGCTCCTTGTAGGAAATTGTCCCGAGTATTTTTCAATAATCTAAATCGTTCATATTATAAGATTCATCGAATAAATCATAAATTAAGTTGATTGGATATCTATAATCCTATAACCAAAGCCCATTTGCTTCTATAAAAATTAACAATTAACATAACTTTCATAAATTTTCAAAAACAATTATGACCTAATCATGAATATTCGATTAACTTCATTTATTACATAAATAATATTCTTGATGAATCTTACAATATGAACAATTTAAATGATCGAAAAACACTCCAGAAGACCTCCCACGATGGGGCAAACCCCCTTCTCCGCGCACCATATATGCACACAAACAACATAAATGAATAACAAGCTCGGTTTATTGCTCTCTGTTTGTCCTTTTGTCTCAATGGAACATAATATATAAATGATAAATTACACAATTTAGTAATTGAGATATAAATACATCTATAAAAACAGATGAACCAAGAAAAATTCTACCGAATCTTACAAATAAAGCAAAAGAGCTCAAAATTCCTATAATTGATTCTGACTCCATTGAAGGGCTCAAAATTTCTTTTCTTCTAAATCAACCACTTTGCCAAAATAGGAAGAATCTTCCGAATCACGCAACCCCTAACGCTCTATTTGGTTTGATTTTTCAAAAACTAGTTTAGACCCCCAACAAAAAAGACTAAAACATGAAAAAGAGTTCATTAAACACAAACAGAAGCCTATCTAAAAATAATTTTTGAAAAATCAAACCAAACAAAATCTTCCGAACCCAATCTTCAACTGTAAACACTGATTATGCATTAGTTGCATATTCTCAGAGAGTTAGACTAATAAGAACTGTACTTTGATGACAACCTTGAAAATTTTCTCAAAGGCACCACTATAATTAACCGAAGAAATATAAAGACTACCCGAGAAAAACAACTATGGCAAAAGAAACCAGTACTTGGATAAGAAGTGATGTGCCTAATGCCCGTCCACCTTGCTTGAATTTCAACAATGAAACCACTAAGGAGTCAAAAGTCCCAAAACCAAGCCACAATTGAACCGAACGCCAAGCCAGCAAACAAGAACAAAACAATCACAGTCCCTGCAATCTCCTTATGTTGCAGCTGGACGGTTTTGGGAGCCAAAATCATTGAGACACTGATCAAGTTGTCATTTGTAAGGCCCAAAAGACAAGTCAGCAATGTTACTCGGATCTCTGTTCGGAACAATTCAGGACCGTGCAAGCAACCCAAGAAGAGCGGAAAAACAACAATCTTGCAAAAGATGCACCGGATGCAACCTTCAGAGTCTCAAGGAGATAGAGTGCAGGTAGAGCACATTGTAGCCAGTAATGAGGAGGATTGGATACCAGTCCTTTAGTACCTGGGAATGGAAATCTTCTGTAACACAACCAAGAAATATAGCCAACATCACGAAGTAGGTCATGACCCCGACAACTCCACACCATTTGACTCTACCTACAATGTCCCACAAAGTTGACCTCTATAGCGCCCTGGTCAGGACACCTTTCTCTTCTTTCTCCTCATTCACAACCTGAATCTTCAGATCGTTATGGTACTTAATAACTGGCAGTTTATCAACCACGTTGTAGAAAACAATGCATATGATCAACACAACAATGCTGACAATGAAATAGAGATTTGCATTGTTTCTGAGGCCATGGACAGCTTGCAGATATACAGCTTTGGTAAAACTACGTAGAAATGACATGAGGATGTTGGATGTGTCCTACATCGCTTGGAGTTACCCCATCTGTGCTAGTTATAAGGCTCTAGTTTTTCTCTCCTTAATTTCTATGTTTTAAGGAAAAGTGTGGACTAGATTTTTCAACTTGGTATCAAACATTGGTTGGGCCTATTGGTTGGGCCTATGATTGGTGTGCTATTTGTCCAGTTAGTGTGTGTTGTGGTCTAGGAGGGTGTCTTGAAATGTGTCCCACATCGTTTGGAGTTATCCCATCTGTGTGTTGGAATGTGTCCTACATCGCTTGGAGTTACCCCACATGTGTTAATTATAAGGTTTTAGTTTCTCTCTCCTTAATACTTTGGGTTTTAAGGAGAAGTGTGGGCTGACTTTTCAACTGATGCATGTAACCATGGTATGAACGATAAACTTGCTTCAATTGAAATTTTTATGTATCAAACTTGCATATAGTGAAAACAAAATATAAATGGACACTACTTCAAATAAACATTATAAACATGTTAAAGAGTTCAGAGGATAAAGTGTAGTTCACCTTCTCTAACCCTTCACTAATTTTATCATCTAATTTGATTTCAAATTTGAGTAAAAAACTTGATTTGATATGAACAACTCCAATCTTTTCATCAAAATCTTTTTAAAAATTCTCCAATTATCCCAAATTTTCCTTTTCATCAAATTTGCCCCAAAAATATCATCTCCAATGCTTTATCTTCTTAAATTTTCATCAAATTCAAATTAGATGAAGGATCTATTGAGTTTTCAATTTGATTAGAAAAAAGAAGAAAAAATGACACTTATGCACATTTGATGAAAGAATTAGAGATGATTTTTAAGCCCTTTATCATCAAATTTAAATTTCATGAAAGAAAAAGTGAAGGATTAGGAATGATCAGTGAGCCATATCAAATCAAATTTTTGATCTAAATTGCTGAACAAATTTGATAAAAAAAAAATCTAAAAATATTATGAAAATTTACAAAATCGCAGAAAAAAAAACAATAATATACCTCTCCAGCGGCCCCAACGATCCCACCCTGAAAGAATTACCCAAAATAATCAGCATTGTCAAAACAGAAACAGTACCTGAAGCCCCATTCCCACCGGCGACAACCTGAATATACCTCTCCAGCGGCGCCAACGATCCCACCCTGAACCAACCCACTTCCCACACCAGAAATCGCCACCGCCGCCACCGTCACATAGAACCCATCATAGAGCCCGATGCGGCCCTTGATGTAAACCACATCCATGACAGGGACGACGAGAGAGAAGAGGCCGAGGGACTTGTAGGCGACCGCGGTGATGAAAGCGTTCCAGGGGAGGAGGAAGGTGGCGCCGAGAGTGAAGTAGATTGTGTAGGCTAAGTTGAATGAGTCTTTGGGGATTTTGTTGGTGGTGATTTGAAGAAGATGCAGAGTCTCTGAATCTTCTCCGCCGTTGTTGTTGCAGGAGAAACTCATATATCGGAGAATTTGTATCTGTTCTTTGAGTCTTCGCCGGAGATGGGTCCGATCATCGGACTCCGATGCGGGTTGTGATTTGGGGATATGTTTACAGAAGCATGTGGGAAGTGGGAAGTGGGAAGTTTTAGGCTGCGTTTGATAAAGTTTTTTAAATGTCAATTTGGTATTGTTTGGAATACGTTATTTTAGTAATTTTTTAATTTTTTTAACTAAAATATTAGTATGTTTGAAATAATTTTTTTATTTTTTACAAAAAAAATATATAAAAAGTAGAGAGAAAATAAAATCTTTAACTTTTTAATATAAGTTATAGATTTTTTAATTTTTTTAATAACTTTTTAACTTTTAAGTTAAAATAAACACTGGTCAAACGAGGCTTGAGTATAGAGTTGTATTTTAAATTTGTAAGTTTTAGAATTATGATTTGAGTGTGAAAAATTTATTTAATTATGAGTTTTGAAAAGAATTTTGAATTGAGTTTTGAGTTTTTAAAATTAGAAAAATTATTTGATTCAAAAACTTACAACTCATAACCAAATACACAACCTAAAATTCTATTCAAAACTCATAAAAAAAATTAAAAATTTAGAAAATATTTTTAATTTAATACATAAAAAATAACAAGTGTCAATTACAAAAAATAAATAAAAAATAATTTATTGCATTGTTTCGATGAACCAATCAGACGTCTAGGAGAACGACTGAGTAAGCCAAATTTCAAAATTCAAATCTCACCCAAAACAAATTTTCAAAAATGATGTAAAATTAATTTTTGAAACTTATATCCAAATATCACACTCAAATGGAGAGGTGAAATCATGATTTGAGAATTTCGCCCAACGGAATCTTTTAAATATTTTTACTTAAGAGGAAATATTTTCGCTGGGGCCATGGGCCTACGGAAGGAATCTTTTAAATATTTTTACTTAAGAGGAAATATTTTCGCTGGGGCCATGGGCCTACGGAAGGAATGAGAGGTATCAACCACGCATAAATAGTTTAAATAAATAAATAAAGTATTCAAATCAAAAGTTTAAAATTATGGTAACGTTTGGTAGAATTTTTTAAATATGATTTAAGAATAAAGTTATATTTTGAGTTTGTGAGTTTTGAAATTATGATTAGAATGCAGAAAATTTGTTTGGTTATGAATTTTAAAAAGAATTTTAAATTGAATTTTGAGTTGAGTGTTGAATTGAGCTTTTAATGTTTGATGTGACATATGAAATAACAAAATTTGTTTGGTTAGAGCATCTCCAATGGTTTGCCATTGGAGCTGCCATTGCTATAATATAGCAGCTGTGTTGAAAAATGATGTTCCAATGGTTGAATATGGCAGTGATGGGTCGTTGAACACACCAAAATTAAATACTAAACTACACCAAATTCTTTCAGAATAATGGCAAGTCCAAGTATCGATCCACAGGGACAATTGTGAAATTAAACTAATTTAATTGTTAAATTCCTAAATTAATTTTGATAAAAAATTGATTGTTCATAGCATAAATTAATAACAAATAAATTAAACTAAGGAATTAAATTATCAATAATAAATGAAATTGAGTTTACTGAATTGTGGGAAAAACTAGGGCAAAGAGTCCACCACTAGCCACATAATTAGGGTTTCCAATTAAAATCAATTATGTTATGGTTTGAACGAATTAATGCTTCGCAACTGCAAGCTCAAAGCATTTAACAAGAAGATCATCACATTCAATGTACGAGCACGAACCATCTCAAGTAATACGAATCGTTCACTCTAAACTAAGGTAGTGATACGACTCGTTCCTCGTAGGGATGGCAATAAAACCCATACCCAATGGTTACCCATGGAGACCCTACCCGAAATATATGGGTTTCTCCTATTTTTTTCTCCATCGGGTCAGTAGGAGATTTAATTTAACTCCCCATCGGGGAATGGGTCGGGGAATGGGTCAGGCTCATTTCTCCGAATGTTTCAACACGGCTAGGGTTTTCTCACTCTCTCACTCCCACTCTCACTCCAGATCAGAGTTCCGATAAGAGATGTATAGCGAACACACTGGATGAGTTCCGATAAGAGAACACAGTGGATGGGGAGGGTTGTAAACAGTGGATGAGTTCTAGATTCTCTGTTCCAGCATCGAAAGCAGCTAGAGATCAAAGTTCTCCAGCGATCTCGTTGGCGTTTAACACAGCTCTCCAGCGTGGTGAGCTCTCTCTCTCTCTCTCTCTCGTTCTCTCTTGTTCTTCGGTTATTTTTGCTTTGTTTTTGGTCTGATTGAGGAACCCATATGGGCAAATACCTAGTTGATAATTGATTTTTTGGGGTAATTTATTTTTGCATGTTTGTAGATGCACTTATGAACATGTGCTGATGAATTAGCTTGCATGATATCAAGAACATTGTGGGTTTTTCTTCCCTTTTCTCGGCAACCAAACAGGGACCTAGGTTGTCATCTTTGTGAACATTGTGGGTTGTCAGCAAAAATTGATACGAAGGTATCCCCAAATTCCCCTCTTTCCCAATTCATATTAGCTGCTGAATTTGAGATCTTCAATGTTCAATTGAGAGCACTGTTACTGTTTTATTAGACATTTCACTGATTTAAAATCAAAGCTCTTCATCATCATGTCTTCCTCTTTTCACTTTATATATATATACATCTAAGGACAATGCCAACCATCCAGGACATTAGAGGAATCTATCTGCTTTCAGTTTCACTTTTAAATGTTTCTTCAAAACAAATGAATTAAGCAGTGGGAAAATGGGTTTTTGTTGGGATTTTGGGGGTTGGTGGGTTTTAATGTGGGTTTTTGGTCTTGTGAAGATCTAGCTGCAATCCGAACCAAAACTAATGAATTAACCAGTTGCAATTTAAGTGAGGGACATGGCAAGTGGTATGTGTTCAATGTGTTATAATAGAATGGTAGAATTGCTTACATTGATGTAGCTAGCATTGTTAAATTTGTAAAAACCAGGCTGCAAAGACTTATATTCTTCTCTCTCTCTCAAAGCCACATGAAAAGGGAATTATCAGGTTTCGGTCAAAATCAGGAAATTTTTTCTTTTTGGGTGATTATGTTATATGAATAATGGAAAGGATTTCTTGCTTTACATGCTGAAATTTTTAATAGCTGTATGAAAAGAAAATACACCCATTTTAAGTTCTAGTGAAACTAAACTGGACCCGTATTGAGCACTTGGTTAAGTAGTGTTTGGGTGGGTAATTTTTTGGGTTATGAGCTGAGTTATTGTGTGTTAAATGATCTATCTAGGAATAGGAAGGAGAAGAACTCCATATAAGTTTGGTTTCATAACCCTTAGGTAGTGTTTTGTTCATTAGAATGAATCGGAATGGAATGATCATTCTATCAAAATATTCATTCATATGTTTTGTGTCTATGTTAATCCAATTTTAGTTGAATTGAACTTGTTAATATAAATTGTTGGATGTGTGTTCCATATATGGGTATGAAATCCATGTTCTCATCATTTGGTGTAACTCAATTTCCTAAAATTTGTTATTTCTTCTTCTCTTATTAGGGAATATCAATATGATTGTTTGTGTTCTAATTTATGTTCTCTAGGATTTTTAAGCATTGATAATGTCGGAAGTTGGAGCACACTCTCAAGCAAACTCCCAATTACCCGTTGATGGTTTACAACCATCAAGATCGGTTGAGAGTGAGACCTCTCTACCATCACAGCCTCCCCTCCCCAATCAAAATGTCCTTGATGTAGATGATTCCGATTCTAGTTTAGCTACTAGAAAAAACCCTAGTTTTGTATGGCAACACTTTAAGAAAGAAGAAATTGATGGCGTATGGAAAGCCATATGTAATTATTGTAAGAAGCATCTTGGGGGTAATCCGAAGCATGGAACTTCACATTTGCGTGATCACTATAAGAGTTGTCTTAAGAAAAGGGAGGGAATGGACATGAGACAAAGAGTTTTAACTAGCAACTTTAACAAGGGGAGTCCGAAAGTCTCTTATAGTTTTGATGAAGATATTGCTAGGAGAGAGCTTTCAAATGCCATAATCTTGCATGAATACCCTTTGTCTATTGTGGATCATATTGGGTTCAAAAGATATTCGATGGCACTTCAACCATTGTTTAAAGTACCTTCTCGAAACACAATAAAAAGTGATATTTTGAAGATCTATGACAATGAGAAGGAGAAGATAATGAGAGTGGTACAGAGCAATCAAAGTAAAGTGGCAATCACAACTGATATGTGGACTTCTAGTAATCAAAAGAAAGGGTTCATGGCGGTCACGGCACACTTTATTGATGATTCTTGGTCATTGCAAAGCCGTATTTTGAGGTATATTTTTGCATATAAATTAATTTATGTTTTAATTTATGATTTTAGGTTCATTTATGTTCCATGTCCACACACAAAAGAAGTTCTTTGTGATACTTTACTCAATTGTTTGATGGATTGGGATCTTGATAGAATTTCTTCAAAACAAATGGAATTAAGCAGTGGGAAAATGGGTTTTTGTTGGATTTTGGGGTTGTGGTTTTAATGTGGGTTTTGTCTTGTTGAAGATCTAGCTGCAATCCGAACCAAAACTAAATGAATTAAACCAGTTCAATTTAAGTGAGGGGACATGCAAGTGGTATGTGTTCAATGGTGTTAATAGAATGGTAGAATTGCTTCATTGATGTAGCTAGCATTGTTAATTTGTAAAAACCAGGCTGCAAAGACTTATATTCCTCTCTCTTCTCTCAAAGCCATCATGAAAGGAATTATCAGGTTTCGGTGCAAAATCAGTGAAAATTTTTTCTTTTTGGGTGATTATGTTATATGAATAATGGAAAGGATTTCTTGCTTTACATGCTAATTTTTAATAAGCTGTATGAAAAGAAAAACACCATTTAAGGTATTCTTATTTGTGAGTTTGTTTCCCCTTGGACTTTTAGCTGTACTAGGAGAATCTCTTTCACTATGAGCATGATTTTATCTATTTTGGTTTTTATAATAAGTTTATATAGAATTAAGTCTTTATTTTTTTATTATTTGTTAATCTAGCAACTTTCCACTTTAAATTTGTAAGTCTCTAACTTTATTGAATAGTTTGTGACAATTTTCATCTCAGTAAATAAATAAAGTGACATGTT